AATTCCTTATATAGAGAAGAAATCTGTGGCCAAATCCTTAAAGAAGAAGGAATCCTACTCCAATAAGGAGTTGGAAATTCTCTTTGAGTTCTATTCAAACAAGGAGATAGCAATTTTGTTTATTCCTTCCTAAGTTAGGACTCCTACTACATTAAGGAATAGTCAAGTCAATTCCTACTAGGAAGTGCTTGAACTGATCTCTTCATTTTAATTTGTTTAGGTTTGGTTCTTTTATTGGTTTTCTTGTTCGTTCCTTTGTGTCTTTCTGTTTCCTTTAACTCTTGCAGATTTGGAGTTAGATTGCTGCAAAATAACTTGAATTGAGCTGGTTTAGTTCAATAACGAACTGAAAGAGGAAAGTTGAGTGAGGGAAAAAGGCAAAAGGTGTGAGCAACACTTGAGAGAAAAGCCAAGTTCTACAATGTGTAAAACATGAGCGTTGAGTGCCATTCTGTGAGAGAGTGGAGTGAAACACGTAAGGGAGTGTTATGAGGTCCTTTTTATTCTTATGTTTCTAACATTTGTTGCAGGTTTCAATCATGTCAAGCGTTGATGACAAATCAACCCCTAAAAGCCACCATGTGGATGAATCCTTCATGCTCAAAGCAATGCAACAACAATTTCAAAGGCTTAACATCATGTTTGGTGAGATTAAAGACAAAATGGAGAAGTAAGAGGCAACGATAGCCAAGTTATACCAAACACAGAATGGAAGTCCGAATTTGCATAGGAATGATGCTAATGATGATTTTGATGACGATTATAAAGATGCATTCAACAATGGCGCCCAGAACTCAAATTTCAGCATGGATAGAATTATGAGAGGTAGAGGGGGCCAAAGAGAGCAAAACCTGATAAGGTGGGGAGATCGGCAAGATCGTGACTTAGGTAGCATCAAGATGAAGATTCCTCCGTTTCAAGGCAAGAATGATCCAAATTTGTATTTAGAGTGAGAAAAGAAGGTGGAATTGGTGTTTGATTGCCATAACTATTCTGAGGAGAAAAAGGTGAAACTAGCAGCGGTGGAATTTACTGATTATGCTATGGTGTGGTGGGATCAGCTTGTGCTTAGTCGACGTAGAAATCGAGAGCATCTTGTTGTCACTTGGGAAGAGATGAAAGCTATGATGAGAAAACGGTTTGTTCCTAGTCATTACTACCGCGATCTCTATCAATGATTACAAGGCCTACTCAAGGGTCCAGAAGCGTTGAGGATTATCACAAGGAGATGGAAATCGCAATGGTTAGAGCGAATGTCGAAGAGGATAGAGAAGAAACAATGGCATGGTTTCTGCATGGTGTAAATCGTGATATAGCTAATGTGGTGGAACTGCAGCATTATGTTGAATTAGAGGATATGGTGCACATGGCAATGAAAGTGGAAAGGCAATTCAAGCGTAAAGGTGCCACCACTAGAACTGGGCAAAACTCAAGTTCCTCATCTTCTTGGAAACTGAATTGGAGCAAAAAGGAAGAAAATTCTGTTTTTAAGCCTAAAACTGCAGCATCTAAGTCAAAATAAGTTGGCAGCAATGAGAAGAGTAAAATAGATAATATGCAAGGCAAATACTGAGACATCAAGTGTTTTTGATGCTTGGGAAAGGGGCATGTTGCATCATAATGTCCTAATAAGCACACGATGATCTTGAGAGAAGATGGAGAAATTGAAACTGAGGGTGAATTTGATGATGAATCTATGCCACCATTAGAAGATGCTAATGATGGTGTGGAATATGCTGTTGATGGAGAACTGCTCGTCACCAGGCAAGCTTTGAATGTGCAAGCCAAAGAAGATGATGAAGTACAACGTGACAATATATTTCACATGAGGTGCCATGTCAAAAACAAGGTATGTAGTGTGATTATTGATGGTGGTAGTTGTATTAATGTAGCTAGCATTGTGTTAGTTGAAAAGCTTAATTTACCTATGACGAAGCATCCAAGGCCATATAAGCTGCAATGGTTAAACGGTTGTGGAGAAATCAAGGTAAATAAGCAAGTTCTGGTTTCATTCTCTATTGGATGATATAAGGATGAGGTACTTTGTGGCGTGGTTCCTATGCATGCTGGACATTTACTTTTAGGGAGACCATGGCAATATGATATGAGGGTAACACATGATGGCTTCAAAAATCGCTATTCATTTGTCATGAAGGAGAAAACAATTACTCTTGCTGTAATATCCCAAAATTTTGGGGATATTTTAGCATTAAATAAGGGACTTATATGAGGAAAAATATTATTGAGGGGCTTAATAGTCAAATTTTTAAAAGTTGAGGGACTTAAAAGAAAGAAAATTAGGATAAGGATCAAGGCTGATATTTCTCTCCTCAGCCACGTGTTTTGCTCGTCCTCATCTTCTTCTTCTTCCCGACTCTTCCTCCCGACAACCCCCCCCAAGCCCTTCTAGCCATCGACTCATTTTGAGAAAAATTGGTGACCAAGCTTGGGATTTTCTCTTTCTTTTCTTGTTCTTGAACCCAGAAATCCCCCCCCCTCTGCTGGAAATTCCAGATCTACTCTGCTCCTCCCCTGCAGCCGGCAAGAGCCCCAGCCACCGCCACCCATTTCCGGTCGGGAACACCGGCAAAGCTTGGGGATTTCTCCCTATTTTCTTGTTCTAGAACAGCCACTAAACCAGAATTTCCAGATCTGTTCTGCTCTGCATCGTCCTCTCTTTGCTGTTCGCGAGTTCTGCTATGTGGGTTTGAGTTTCTGGGCATTTTTTGGGTAAGCCACAGCCATAAACTTCATCTTTCAGCTTGATTTAGGCTGGGTTTACCTTAATTGCTTTATTCCCTTCCAATTTGAGGTAGCCGTGAGTTTCCCCTGCAGATGCCGCCGGCTTCTTCTCCCTGCCAGCTCCGGTTTGCTTGCTGGAATTCTGGTAAGTTGCCAGCTCTTCCAAGTCCAATTTATCCATGTAATTGTTGCCTTGTGTGTGTCCAAATTGTGCCGGAAAAGGGGATAAATTCCGGTAGCATTTAACAGCCCTTTAAATGTGTTTTGTTGTTTAAATTATGTGGGAATTAACTTGATTAATTGCTGTGATGTTCTGTATGCATAACCGGGCTTTAGTGCTGTTTTGCCAAGCTCGGTTTCTCCATTTTGTCCGTTGAAAGTTTCCTGTTGAAATGGAGGAGTTTTGGCAGCTCTAAAACATGGGTTTTAAGCTTGCTTAACGTAGAAAATTAGCTTGAATTGGGTTGTGATTTTGGAGAGAAAATCCCGTGAAATTAGCTAGTGTTTTGCCCAAATTTTTGAAGTTACCGTCACTGTTCACTGCGAATCACTGTTCATGTGTACTGTTCATAAGCACTGTTTACACACCGAGGGTTAACGATTAACGGGGATTTAAAGGTTTAGTTTATGATATAAGAATGAATTTGGAGATGTCCGGTTATGGGGAGATTGATAGAAATAGCACTGTGATTTGGGGTAGTGTTGATGATGATTTCAGTTTGAATTTATGATAATGCGATATTAATTCTTGGAATATTGTGATTAGGTTTTGATCGTTCTGTCACCGTAGCACTTGGGTTAGCCTTCTGTTCTGTGCGAGTAAGGTAAGTAAATCATGGTAAAGCCCTTCGATTTTAAAGCATGTTTTAAACTGTTTTTGAGATGGTGGCAAGGTTTAACTTGATTTTTAATTGATTTTATCTGCATCTGAGTGCAATTAAACTGAAATGAGAATTTTGATGATTTTCATGAAAATTATTGTTTTCTGGAAGTGAGCATGATTGGAATGAAAAAGTGAGAATTTCATCGTTTTTCTGGAGTTATTGTGCCGAGCATGATTTGTTTGAAATTGAGTGGAGCATGCCTATTTGGAACTGATTGAACTGTTTTGATTAACTGAAAGTTTTGTAAATTATGATTTTCTGTTAAATCCATGCCCACATGGAATGTTCTGGTTATTTCTGAAATTACGGATTTTGATTGTGAATCCTGCATGGTTTTGTCTCTGATATAGTCATGATTTTCGATCCTCGCTAGTGGGTGTGTAGCACATCCGATCCCCGCTAATGGGTGTAACGCTAGCACTTCCGATCCCCGTTAGTGGGTGTAACGCTAGCACATGTCGACATGTTTACTGATATGACCAGTTCATTCTAACGCCTGCCTCTAGGCGAATACATTGGCAAATTTCTGTCGCCTGCCAGTGGGTTGTTATAACACTGGCCATGACTTATAGATGAGACTACTGAACTGAATCTGATTCTGTATTAACGGTTTTGTCATTAAATGTTTTGCTATTGAACCGAATTTGATTTCCACATTAACGGTTTATCAGTGAAAGTTCTGTTATACTTACATGGTTTATTTGGCATGCTAAAAGTTTTACCCAAGGGCTATCCATAATTACTTACTGAGTTATCTCATAGTTTTCCTTGTCCACCATTTCAGGAAGCGATACTGAGGACGGGGGAAACCAAGGGGAGTGACGAGTTAGAAGGCTAGTCACCTGGAATTTGATATAGATTTTAGATACAGATTATGATTCTATAAGCTAGAGTGTATTTAGAGATTTTATGATATCAGAGCAAATTGTAAAAATTTTATCTTGAGATTTGGTGGTATCAGATTATGAATTGGATAAGTTTTGAGCCTTGTGCATTCGTGGGACTCGTCTCACGAGTGCACGGCGTCTGTCACGTCTCCAGATTTGGGTTCTGGGGCGTGACACTTGCACCATTGAGTCCAAGGCAGGTTTATGAGGATCAACTGAGGGTAAAAAAAGAGAGTGAGCTAAGAAATGAGAGTGAGCTTGAGGGTATAAAAACAAAGAGAAAACAGTAGAAAAAGAGTCCAAAAAGAGAGAAAAGATTGAGAGTGTTGAAAACAAAGAGAGAAAATCAGTGAGTGTTTATGCAAAAGAAAGTGATGTCAAGGTTGCGTTCTTTGCAAAGCAGCCTATGTTTGTGCTTCTGTATAAAGATTCTTATTTCAACACTAACGAACTTAATGATTCTTTGCCTAGTGTTGTTAAATCTCTTTTGCAAGACTTCAAGGACGTGTTTCCAGAAGACATCCGTAATGGTTTGCCATCAATAAGAGGAATTGAGCATCAGATTGACTTCATTCTAGGTGCAACAATTCTGAACCGACCAGCATATCGAAGCAACCCCAATGAGATGAAAGAACTTCAAAAGCAGGTTGAAGAACTCATGAAGAAGGGGCATGTGAGAGAAAGCATAAGTCCATGTGCAGTTCCAGTGCTACTTGTGCCTAAGAAGGATGGGACTTAGCGTATGTGTGTTGATTGTCGCACTGTTAACAAAATCACTGTAAAGTATCGTCACCCTATTCCTAGATTATATGACATGTTAGATGAACTACATGGTTCTTGCATATTCACTAAAATTGATATAAATAGTGAGTATCATCAGATTAGGATGAAGGAAGGTGATGAATGGAAAACTGCCTTTAAAACAAAACATGGTTTATTTGAGTGGTTAGTTATGCCATTTAGATTAACTAATGCACCTAGTACATTCATGCAATTAATGAATCATGTTTTGTGTGCTTTCATTGTCAAATTTGTGGTTGTTTATTTTGATGACATTTTGATATATAGTAAGAGTTTAACTGATCATATTGAGCATTTGCAAATGATACTTGAGGTTCTGAGAAAAAAAAAGTTGTTTGCTAACCTTCAAAAGTATTCCTTTCGCACAAATCATATTGTCTTTTTAGGGTATTTTGTTTCAACTGATGGACCATTTCAAGTGATTGCAAGGATTAATGACAACGCATACAAGTTGAAGCTTCCTGGTGAGTACAATGTTAGTGCTACTTTTAATGTTTCTGAT